CTTGGAACTTGCTCTGTAGACCAGGCTGGCCTCAAACTCACAGAGATCTGCCTGCCTCTGCCTCCTGAGTGCTGGGATTAAAGGTATGTGCCACCACCACCAGGCCGAAGAACTGTTTTATTTATACTAAATTGTTCTTCTGGCTATCAAATGCTGCCCCTTTGGTATGTTATTTTTAATTATAGTTATAAGAAGATAATTCATGTACAATAAAGATCACCCCCTGAAGGTGCATACTTGTTAGTTTTAGAATATTTACAAAATTATACCACTCAACTTCCTGGTTTCAGAATATTTTTATTACCCCAAGAGGAAACTTCATACTCATTAGTAGTTACTCTTCATACCTGTTCCACTCAGCCGCTATTTACCACTCCCATTTTTCTATCATAACAGTCCTATCTGTACTAGGCATTCTAGATACACAGAATTCTAGATGCAATTGTGCAGCCTTTTTTGTCTGGCTTTCTCCCTTAACATAATATTGACAAAGTTTATCCATGCTAGAATGTTTATTATTACTCTATTTGTCTTCTTGCTGAGTAATAGATTGTACGGCTATGACATGTTTTATTTACTAGTTTTTCAGTTAAATGGTGTTTGGGTAATTAGCACTTTTTTGGCTATTATAAGAAATAATATGATGAACACTAGTGTAGAAACTTTGAACACGTGTTTTTTATTCTCTTGGTATCTTAAATTTATAGGGTAGTTCTGTGTATATTTTTTTGTTTTGTTTTGTTTTTCAAGACAGGGTTTCTCTGTGTAGCTTTGTGCCTTTCCTGGAACTCGATTTGGAGACCAGGCTGGCCTCTAACTCACAGAGATCCGCCTGCCTCTGCCTCCCGAGTGCTGGGATTAAAGGCATGCGCCACCACTGCTCAGCAAACGCTACTATGTGTATAATTTTTGGGAGGGCATTCAAACTGTTTTCTACAGCAACCGCATGATTATACATTCTCACCAGCAGAGTATGATGGTTACCCTATCCCCACACTCTCATCCACATTTATTTTGAGAACCACCCAGAATGCCAAACATCAGATAGTTGAAAGTAAGCCGAGTATCAGCATTTGTCACTCCCTGTTTCTTCCTGATGGCAGACAGAATATCATTAACTGCCTGGAGGTTCTGCCACCGTGACTGCCTACCATGATGGATTCATAGCCTTGAAGTATGAGCCCAAGTAAATCCTTTGTTCCTACCTTCCTTCTTTCTGCTGGTTTTATCAGGCATTTTGTTATGGCAACAAGACACATACTAATACAACTGCTTTGTTATGTAGGCTTGTCTCTCCTCTTTTGGAAAATTTCCTCACACTTCCTCTCATTAATTATTGGGCTTTTATCAAGTCTTGATCCACAATATAAAAGCATGCACATTTCCTTAGGAAACCCAAATCTATAAAATGAACACATAAAAGACTGATAGGGATGAGTTTGATGATATTTTGTTGCATTTTTATTGGTTTCATAAAATATTTGTGTTCTTTTCAAAGATTGTTATTAGAGACAGTTGCTGATATCTATTTGTCACTTTAAAAAGACAGACTATATCACCAACCAATATCAAAGAATTCTGACCCTCAAATAAGATGTATAAATTAATTGAACTACTCACTGGGATAATCCAGCTTTCTTTCAGTAGCATTCTAATCTGACTTTTCTTAACTTTTTTCCCCCAGAAAATCCTTGTCCTCCACCTTCACAGAAACCCTTAGAAATGAAGCTTCCTTTAAGTTTAAACAATGACATCATGGACCTTGAACTTTGCTTTTAGATATTTTTTGTTTTTTAACACCAAAGTAGCAGGAGATGGGTTATTATTTGTGTGTGTGTGTGTGTGTGTGTGTGTGTGTGTGTATGTGTGTGTGTGTGTGTGTGTGTGTGTGTGTGTGTGTAGTATTGTGAGGTGACTAAAGGGTCTTCCAAGTGTTAAACTAAGCACTCTACTCCTCCAGCCCAAGAGGGGGCTTTCATCTAGTTCAAAGCCAAGAGCACAGTGGACCTATTCCCTGACCTTTACTGCTTCGAGAACATTATGTCCTTATTCCATTAAAGAGACAAGGATCTTTGAAGTATTGAACAAAGCATATTTTGAATCCAAACATTGATTTTTTTTTTCCTTCCAGAATCTCTGAACTCATCCCTTACCCTTTCCACAACCCCGATGAAGGGGCTTCTGTTTTCCTTCCCTGGATGGAATCATGTTGAGTCCTCCCACATTCTTAGCTTTAAAAAAAGAACAGGTTAAGTGGGTGGGGGTGATAAAGGCTTGCTGATTGCTGAGACAGGTTCAAGTACTAGTTTTCAAAAGTACTAAAGGGATATTCATGAACATCCATCTGCAAACCTTTGCTAATTGCCCATAGTTTAGGACTGTGTCTTTTCTGACCAGACTATCATCTCCTTCCTCTAGGCAGATTACAGCTCTAAAATGATATAGGCAGGGAGTTGGCCTTAAGCATGTTTTGATTCAGAAAGTAGCAACTTCGATGACTGAATTGTACGAGCAACAATGATTGTATACAAGTGTGCATGATCATTCATTCACACCTATTGGCAATCAGTATATGCTGTAAAAATTTTTTCGAACAATGCTCTGTGTAGCCACTGGAGTGAGAAGACAAGCCCCCTTAACCGGGAATTGGTATGATGAAGGCTGTGGACACAGCTCTTCCACAAACCGGCTGTAAGGCTGTAGGTAAATCATTTTCCTGTCCAGTTTCTTTATCTGTGAAATCAAAGTTTGAACTGATAACATCCCTGGAAGACCTGAAGCACAGAGAAACCACTTGAAGATCCCAGGCAAAGGTTTTCTGAAGAGGACATCAAAAGCCCAGAAGTAATACAAATGGGACTGCTTTAAATTAGTTTCTGTGCTGTAAAGAAACAACAGAGTCCAGGGAAAAGCACGGAGGAAGTATTTACCAGCTAATCATCTAACAGGACATTAATGGCTAGAACATATAAAGAGCTAAAAAAAGTTGCTGGGCTTGGCGGCACAGTCCTTTAACACCCGGTACTTCCATAGGAGGAGCCTACGTTCGAGCCTTATTTGGGCTACAGAGTGAATTCAATGCCCCCATGAGCAGCTTAGTGATAACCTGTCTCAAAATTAAAAATAGAATGAGGCCTGGAGATCTAGCTCCTCAGTAAAGCATTTGTGCAGCATGCATAAGACCCTAGGTTCTGTTTTTCTCTGTGTCTCTTTTTCTCCTCTCTCTCTCTCTCTCTCTCTCTCTCTCTCTCTCTCTCTCTCTCTCTCTCTCTCATAATGAAATAGGAGCAAAAAAGAAAGTAGAAGGTTATGGGGGAGCGAGAAACGAATAGCATGAAGTGGGAAGGGATGAGAGATAAGCATGTGTGATGTACAGGTATGAAACCCATTATTTGTAAAATAAATATACACTAATAAAAATAAGCTTTTCTGTACCCTAGTTAGAATTCTTTGAAGTGCTGGGGAGTGATGTCAAGGACTCATGCATGCTAGAAAATGCTATACCCCTGAGCTGTATTGCCAGCCCTTAGAAATACATTTGAAGGGGCTGGGGAAATGGGTCAGTAGTTAAGAGCACTTACAGCTTTTGCAGAAGACCTGGGTTCAATTTCCAGCACCCACATGTGGCTCGGAACCATCTAAACTCCATCCAATACCTTTTTTTAACTTTCACAAGCACAAGTACATACCCAGTGCACATACATATACACAGGCAAAAAGCTCACACACATAAAGAAAACTTTTTTTTTAATTTAAAAAGAAACACATTGTAAGAAGTGTTTTTCTGCAGATAAAACTGTTTGTGCAAACAATTATTTACACTAATGGGAGCCGGACTTCATTTTGTGATGTTTGAAGTTAACCCCAGGGCTTTGCACATATCAGGCAGGAGAGTTTGACCACTAGATAAAACCTCACATACCTAGATTCTAACTGCTTTTGATGATGCATAAACTTTTTTTCATGAGTCACAATGGGCGGTAATTCTTACTTTGAATAATACTGAAGAGTCTTTTAAGATTTTATTAAAAACTTTAAAATCTTATGTTAACTCCCTCCTTCCTGTCTTCTAACCCTTGCACCCATACCCCTCCTTTCCAAATCGATAACCTTTTTCATTATTATTGTAATATATTTTATGGCCCAGTGTTCTATTAAAGTGTCTGTTGGAGATATAAAGAGAAATGTAGCTTCATTTTTGATTCTTTGATTTCCTCAGCTTGTGTCAATTACAAATTAAATATTCTGCATCTCAAAGAGAGGGTGCCACACAAAATGTCCCAGGTTAAATCCACCCAGTAGGATATACAGCATGAGGGTAGCCCAGGAGTTAGCGTCTCTCAACTCCAGGGCTCTCGTGTATAAAGAGGAAGTATCAGATTGTATGGGATGTAGTAAGGATAAAAAGTGAGACCTAAGATGTTAAAAGTACTGATAAGGGTGAAGAACTATAGGTCATTCAAGATGGACATTTCCCTCAGCCATAGTTGGGCTCCCACAGTAACTACCCTCCAGTTTGTCATAACCCCTACTATTATTGTAATTAATGTAAGGCCTTTTACTTTTTAATAGTTCTTACTAAAATTAGATATTCATCCTGCTTTTGTCTGTGCTTAATCTATGATATATACATACTTATGTATATACACACACCAATAGCACTTTGGAATACCTCAAAATTACCAAGGGATCTTGTTAAAATGAAGGTTTTGGAAGTCTACATTATGAATGTGGAGAAGGGCCAGAGGTCTTATATAAAAACACCTTCCCAAGGAGTTTTCATAAAGATACTAGGCTCACACTCTTTGAAAAACACTAGATGTACATTATTGGAATATTAGATCATGAATCAAAGGTATGGCTGTTCCTTGTTGATTAATTGGAAACATGAAAAAAAGAATTATCAGTGACAATAGATTTGAGTCCAAGTAGTTGGGAGACTTAAGACACTATGAAGGAAATGTAAGGGCAGGAGTAAAAGAAAATGACTGACCATATACTGCCTTTTAAATTGCTTTACTAATTTCAAATCATGAAAAAAGATTTCCTTCTAAAATGGATTGAATTGCCATGCTGATAGGAATGTTTAGAATTAAATGCAACAGTAAAACAATCTTTAAGTAGAAAGTGTTAAGTGGAAACACCAAAAGTTTACAGAAAAAGTACTTCACTAAATACAAGCTTGTAAAAGAGTAGCCACTTTATGAGCTCAGAGAAAACCTTCAATTTTTAAGGTATGAGGCAAAAGTCATAGTGATTGTCAGGTTCTGGTGTCTGGAAACGCCCGTAAGGCCTCATCTGTTGCTCCCTAGTCTTTCTCTTGACTTCCATCACTTGCCCTACAAACTTCCCAACATCCTCTCCCCCTTCATTGGGATCAACGTGTCTGTTTGGTATGGCCCATCGAAAATTAGGCACAAGTCGCCTGACTCGTCCCCTTCTGACATTTTCCCCAGGCTTCTTGTTTTCAACTTCTTCCAGCTGGTGGGATTCTTCTTCACTTTGCTTGGAGATCTTCCCTTTTTTGTTTTCTTTTTCTTCATTCTGCACTGCGAGATCTTTTACGACTTGTTGCTCTCTGGACGCCATTATTCCTAGGAAACAAGAGATAGGACTTTTTTCTTCGTAGACTGATCAACACGTAGAACAGAGGCACAGTCTGGGCCTGAACCCCGCCCACCCCAAAGTCTATCATTTCCCCTATGAACCCATTTCCAAGGCCCCTACACGTACAAAAACAGAAGCCGAGAATGGGAGAAGAGGATAAAAGTAGAGAGAAAAGTTGGGCCCTGGGATGTCGGCCTCGGCTTTGCACATGTTCCCTTTTCCCCTGTCCGGCCTCCAGCCCCGCGCCAGCACCCACCTGGGCCTCTCCTCGCCTTCTCCTCCTCCGGCGATGCTCACCGCCAGGTGCGCTGAGGAGCCCGACTCCTGGGACCTGCGAACAAGCGGGCAGGAGGCTGGTGGGTGGATGGGATGGTGAGACGGAGGGGAGGGAGGAGGGAGGGGGAGGACCTGCGGCGCTGCCTTGGGCGCCCCCGGCCCCGGCCCGGCTCTTCCCGCCCCCACGGCCGCCCCCGCCCCGCCGACCACCCCTGGGCAGCCGGGATGCAGGGGAGCTGGGGGCTGCGGGGAGCTGTCGCGGGGCGCAGGCTCCCACTCCCCGAGGGTCTCCGCCTGGGCCCGCCCCCGGCCGGCCGGCCGCCGCTGCGCACCCCGGGACGGCCACCTGCTGCCTCGGCCTGCGCGGCGACCGCGGGGCCGGGAGCCGCCGCCCCCCGACCACGGGCCCCGCGGACCCGGGCCGCCGCCCCCCTCACCTGCTCCGCCCCTGCTCTCCGCGCTGCCCGGGCCGCCGCGCGCTCTGCGCCACCACGAACAGGTGCCTGGGCCGGGGATGGCGCCCGGAGGGAGTGAGCCAGGGCAGGTCCGGAGCCCCCCGAGGGGTGTGAGCCTGCGTGGTGGGCTAGTCACGTGAGCCTGCGTCACAGACAGAGCCCCGCCCCCGGCCCGGCCCCTCCTCCGGCCCCGAGTGTCCCGCCGGGCCAAGTCCAGGCCCCTGCCTCACCTGGGGTCACTGTGACATCTCCAGGCTGGGCCCTGTCACTCTGAGCCCTGAGCATGTGCTTGTCTGAAGGAGAGGGGCAGTGTGTTCTCAGTGGGCTGTTAGCCATTGCCAGTGTTCTGGGGGATTGATTTCCCCCTCTCCTCTGTTTTCAGGATGCCCCTCCTGGGTGCCCTCTCTGTTCCAAAACCTGGATTTCTTGTCTCAGAATTCAAATGGAGTTAAGGGCTGGTGAGATAGTTCAGTGGTTAAAGTACATATTATTTAAGCGTGAGGATCCCCAGAACTCGTGTAAACACAGAACACGTGCAAATGTCTTGTGGGAAGCCTGTAATTCCAACTTCAGGAGGCAGAGAGGGATCCCGAGAGCAAGCCTGCTAGCTAGACTATATGGGAGCTCTGGCTTTGACTGAGACATCCAACCGAATGAATAATGTAGAAGAGCAACGGAAGATGGTTTGCACCGGCACACGAGCACACCCCCCGTGTGTATTAATGTGCATACACGGAAGCACGCCACACACATGAAAAGTGAAGGAAAAATAATTTAAATGGAGTCAAGAACAATAGTAAAGAATCAATAAAGAAAATAAAATTGGCTTAGAAGTATTTATGATGAGCAAGATGTCAAAAACACATACAATATCTGCTCCATCTACTCCACTTCAAATTGTAGTTCTTTCTGCCACCATATAGAAATGCAGGGGATAATGTGAAAATGAAACAATGGTGGATTTTTTTTCTAATTTTTCCTTTCTTTTTTATTTGTTTTTTCCAAGACCTAATTTTTTTTTTTTTTTTTTTTTTTGGAGCTGAGGACCGAACCCAGGGCCTTGTGCTTGCTAGGCAAGCACTCTACCACCGAGCTAAATCCCCAACCCCCTAATTTTTCTTAATACTTTGTGTGTCTTATTCCTTTTCTAAAGTTTATTTAGTTATTTGGTTTTTGTTTTATTTTTGAGACAGGGTTTCTCTGTGTAACAGCCCTGGCTGTCCTGGATCTCACTCTGTAGACCAGGCTAGTCTCGAATTCACAGAGATCAACTGGCCTATGCCTCCCTAGAGCTGGAATTAAAGGCGTGTGCCACCACCGCCAGGCAGTAACATTTGGTTTTACATTAACTTTGATTTTCTCCTATGGCAAATTTCCAATATATTAAAAAAAAAAACCAGAAGAATAGTGTAGAAACAAGGACTTATCACCTAGCTTCCACAGTTAAGCCCTGGCCAAATTTTTCTTTATCCTTACCTACTTAGACATATTTCAAAGTCAAGGGCATATTTCTAAGATAAGGACTCTCCACACATATTCACAGTTCCTTTAAACACACACACACACATAACGCACGCGTACGCGCACACACACATATATTTATAAACATATATATATATATATATATATATTCCATAATTCAAATTCCTAGTTGTTTTTATGTGTTTTTAAAGCTTTGGTTTAGAAACTAAAGAAGCCCTGCACATTTTGATTGGCTGCTGTATGTCCTAAATTTCTTTTAATCAATACATTTCAATTTCCTCTTCAATTTCACTTTTGATGAAAGAGTCATTTGTAGGATATATCTCCACAACTTGCATCTTGCTGTTACCATCATTAACATTTTTTTCTATCAAATGTAAGCTAATTGGAGAATAGATTAAATTTAGGTTTACTTTCTACTCAGGTTATTTCAGGGGAGCATCTTTGACTCCTCGTTTGTTGTTTGACAAAATAAATATCAGTTATTGCTTGTTTTCTGTTTTCCTCTTCTTGTGGTTTTTAGCTGGAATACTGCTGTGGAGACTTCCTGTTTTAGGTTGATCTCCCCACAAAGACAGCCTTGTGAAAGGAGTTTACTGAGGTGACATTCACATGTCAAAGTGGGGAAAGGAAGAAGGATGGGGCAGGAAGAATGAGAACTTTACTGGCGATCAAGGGGAGTTAATAGCACCTGGAGACTCTAAAGACGAGCACTCTGAGGGAAAGGCACTGACTCTGGACTCCAGTGCCAGTCTGCCTCAACTCAGATATCACAGGTGGAACAGAGCCTAATCTCTGGGGAAGGTGCTCCCACTTGACTGATAACAATGGTCAGAGAAGGAGCAGCATTAGAGTTTTTCACAGCTAATACTCAAGGCCAGGACAGGCTTCCGTGGGTATGGTCCATGGTGTATGACACAGTGCTGTGATCAGAAGTCTCCTCTGCTTGCCTTAATGCTCTGTTGAAATTCTGAGGGGTTTTTATTTCTTTTTCTTTTTTTTCGGGTGGGGGGGCTTTTTCTGAGACAGGGTTTCTCTGTGTAACAGTCCTGGCTGTCCTGGAACTCGTTCTGTAGACCAGGCTGACCTCAAACTCACAGAGACCCATCTGCCTCTGCCTCTCAAGTGCTGGGATTAAAGGTGTGTGTCACCGGATTTTATCCCCTCATCCCTTTTTTTTTGGATTTTAGAAACAAGGTTTTTCTGTGTAGTCGTAGCTGTCCTGGAACTCAATCTGTAGACCAGGCTGGCCTCGAACCCAGAGATCCGCCTGCCTCTGCCTTCCAAGTGCTGGGATTAAAGATGTGCCCCCTCCCACCAACCCGCTTGGGTTTTATTAACACTGCAGTAAAAGGCCCATAATTGTCCATAGGGTATACAAACTGTATACAGGAAGTTCAGTTGTCTGGCAGGGTCCTCCAATCTATTCCTTCCTTAGCTTCCCTCTTCCGAAGGAGTTTTTATGTGGACTAGGTGCTACTGTCCTTGTGCAGCACTCTTTTCTTCTGCTGAATGGATTGCCAAGTTTCAAAGCTCCACTCATTTATCTGAACTACCATAGGGCCAGGGTCTGAGTCCATTTCTAAGGAACTGAGGATAAGTTCTTCTCACCCATTACTTTATATTTTTAGACTTACCCAGATGAATATTGCTCCAATGCTGCTTGGGCCCCGATACCAAACAGAAATTTTAAGGTAGTATTCCAAGATGGGGGAGAGAGAGAGGGAGGGAGAAAGGGAAGGGTGGAGAGAGAGGGAGGGAGGGAGGGAGGGAAGGGTGGAGAGAGAGGGAGGCAGGGAAGGGTGGAGAGAGAGGGAGGGAGGGAAGGAGGGAGAGGGGATGGGAGGATGGAGAGAGAGAGGGGGAGGGGAGGGAGAGGGAGAGAGAGAGGAGAGAGAGCATCCACACTGAATTTAGGTAATGAGAATTAGGTTGAGGATTTAATGGTGATTTATAATTACCAGACTCCTTCTCCCCAGGTAAGGAATATATTTTGACCCTCTAGTCTGGAAAAGGACTAAAATTCTTGCTTAAAACATATTTAGCCAGGCGATGGTGGCACACACCTTTAATCCCAGCACTAGAGAGGCAGAGGCAGGTAGATCTCTGCAAGTTCGAGGCCAGCCTGGTCTACAAAGTGAGTTCCAGGACAGGCTTCAAAGCTACACAGAGAAATACTGTCTTGAAAAACCAAAAAAAAAAAAAAAATTAGACTAGAGAGGAATAATTAGCTCCAGGTGGTACATGCCTCCTCAACCTGCTAAGGCAAGGATTTCCTGAAACAATAAAAGTTCTCTTTTAAAAAATATTTTGTTGTGGGTGGGGGTGGGGGTGGGGGTGGGGCAGAGGCTGGATCTTGTGTAGGCCAGGCTGACTGAAACTCACTTTATTGTCAAGACTCACCTTGAACTGCTGCTCCTTCTGCCTCTACCTCTTTTTTTTTTTTTTTTTTTGGTTTTTCGAGACAGGGTTTCTCTGTATAGTTTTGGTGCCTTTCCTGGAACTCACTCTGTAGCCCAGGCTGGCCTTGAACTCACAGAGATCCACCTGCCTCTGCCTCCCAAGTGCTGGGATCAAAGGTGTGCGCCGCCGCCGCCGCCGCCGCCGCCGCCGCCGCCGCCGCCACCACCACCACCTGGCTGCCTCTACCTCTTTTTTTTTTTTTTTTGGTTTTTCGAGACAGGGTTTCTCTGTGTAGCTTTGCGCCTTTCCTGGAACTCACTTGGTAGCCCAGGCTGGCCTCGAACTCACAGAGATCCGCCTGGCTCTGCCTCCCGAGTGCTGGGATTAAAGGCGTGCGCCACCACCGCCCGGCCAGCTTCCACCTTTTTTTTTTTTTTTTTTTTTTTTTTTTTTTTTTTTTTTTTTTTGGTTTTTTGAGACAGGGTTTCTCTGTGTAGCTTTGCGCCTTTCCTGGAACTCGCTTTGGAGACCAGGCTGGCCTCGAACTCACAAAGATCCGCCTGGCTCTGCCTCCCGAGTGCTGGGATTAAAGGCGTGCGCCACCACCGCCCGGCCCCAGCTTCCACCTTTTAAAGGGGTTCCTATGAGGAGGAGAGAGGGATAAGAAACTTTTAGATAGAAAGATAGCCAAGAGGAGAAAGACAGAAACACAGGATAGCTTGGGAGGACCTGGATCAAAATCCACTAGCCCCTTCTGCCTCTTCAAAACAGTTTTTTATAACAATGCCAAGGGGCAAGGCAAAAGACCTTCCCTTTGCTAGATCAAAGCACACCACACAGCCAAGTGCAGACCTTTCCAAACACCTGGTAACCATGCTCGTGGTCAAATCATCCCATTATGCAGCCCTGCTGGGTAAAGCTCAGATTCTCAGACCCTGAGTAAGTTCTCACTAGGAAACCTCTGTGGATCTCTACAGTGAAGTCACTTAATGTTATACATTCCAAGTCCACCCCTTTTCCTGAACATTTTAAATTTCAGTTTTCTTTAGAGCTGAGTACTATTCCATTTTTTTTTTTAAAGATTTATTTATTTATTATGTATACAGCGTGTATGACTGCAGGCCAGAAGAGGGCACCAGATCTCATTACAGATGGTTGTGAGCCACCATGTGGTTGCTGGGAATTGAACTCAGGACCTCTAGAAGAGCAGTCAGTGCTCTTAACCTCTGAGCCATCTCTCCAGCCCTCCATTTTTAATACATATCAAATTTTCATTATCTATTCATCCGTTTATGGACAACTAGGTTGATTCCAATTGTTTGCTATAGTGAATAAATCATCAATAAATATTGGGGTGCAACTATATCTGTGGTAGTTTGGAGTTCTTTGGATATATGCCCAGAAGTGAAGTAACTGGGCCATATGGCAGATTTGCTTTTAGCTTGTTTGAGAAATCTCCAAAATGATTCCACTGTATTTACACCCTCATCAACAGTGAATGAAGGTTCATTTCTCACATATGCTCCAACATTTGTTGTCAGATTTGTTGATGATAGCCATTCTGACTGAGGTGTGGTGGTACATCAAAGTAGTTTTAATTTGCATTTCCCTGATGGCTAAGATATGGAACACTTTAAAAAAATAGTCATCGGACACTTGTGTCCTTTTTTTTTTTTTTTTTTTTTTTTTTTTTTTTTAGAAAATTCTTTATTCAGTTCATTTGCCCATTTGCTGTTTGCAGTTTTATCCTCTTGGTATTTAATTTCTGCAATTCTTTGTAAATTCTGGATATTAGTCCCTCGTCTGCAGTGTAGCTTCAGGCCTGATGTTCTGTCGTCTACATGATTGACTCTGTCAACGGAGCTTTCTTCTGAGCCTTTTATTGGACTTTTTGAACTTTTTAATTTCCAGTTTGCTTTCAGTTCGGCTCAAGTATTTCTATTTCCATATTGAACTTTGCGTTCTTATTTTTGCTTTATTCAGCCATTTGTGTTCTCTTGGAATTCAGTCAGGAATTTATTCGGGTTCTCTCTGATCTCTTTAGATATTTATGTTCGTTCTTGTGAGATATTTATCTTGAATTTCATCTAAGTTGGTGTCATAATGTGCTGATACTCTGAGATTGGTAATTTTTGGAGGACATATGGTGTCTTGGGTTTTCATGTTATTTATGATTTTGTGTTAGAATTTACACATCTAGGAAAGTTTGTTGGTTGAGTTTTTTTTTTTAATTCTTTGTTCAGTAGAGGTGTCTGTAATATTTAATAAGGATTAAGTTGTGGTGGGGTTGAGGTTTATTTTCCAGGGTTAGACTGATATATTAGTGACTCTTCTATTGCTGTTATAGAATGCCATGTGGAAGGGGACTTATAGGAGGAAGGATTTCCTTGGGATCATGATTCACAATCCCAAAGGGGTAATAGTCCATCACTATTGTGGCAGGGAAGCATGACAGCAGGCAGGCATGTTGTCATGAGCAGCAAGCTGAGAGCAGCAGCAACAGAAATGTACCTACTCACCACCTTGATCAAGTGATGAAGATTAAAGTTATCTGTGATACTATGTACTCCCAGATTTGGTGTGATGAATATAATACTTCACTTCTCAGATATTGCCTCTCAAAACCTACGACCCAGGTCTACATAAGGAGGAAAACTACAGACAAAGTCCATGCTCCTCAGGGCTGCTGGGGATATGAGCTATGTGGAGACACACTTGCAATCTCAGCATTCTGGGAGGCCAAGGCAGAAGGACTGGCAATTGGCATGAGTTTGAGGTAACTCTGGTAGGTTACACAGTGAATTTGAGGCCAGCCTGGCTTGCATAGTATGACCTTGACTCAAGAAGGAAGAGAAAAATAAAGGGAGGAATTGGAGGCGCATTATTGGCAGTCTTGATCATAGCCTTGCATTTCTTCAAACAGTTAAGCAGGGAGTTCCCACGTGTCTCACCAACTACACTATGTACAGATCTCTGCTACCTTGCTTTCTGTTGCTGTAATAAAACAACTTGGGGACAAGAAGGGCTAATTTCGGTTTGCATTTCCAGGTAATGGTCCGTTACTGAGGGCAGTCAGGGAAGGAACTCAAAGCAGGGATCTGGAGCAGAAACCATGAAGGAAACCTGCTTACTGGCTTGCTACCAGGCTCATAGTCTAGCTTTATTATACAGTCCATGCCCACTTGTCTAGCGATGGTGCCACCTAGAGTGGGCTCGGTCATATCAATCATCAGTTAAGACAATCTCTCAAAATCTTGGCCACAGGCCAAAACTGATATGAGAAATTCTTCAGTTTGGGTTTCCTCTTCCCGAGTTAATTAAGTTGACAATAAAAAGCAATTGGGACAACACCCAAAATAAACAAAAAGATACATACACATAAAAATTTGTATACAGATATCTGTACCATCATCATTCAGAATACTAGAAACAACCCATGTGTTTACCGTTGAATGCATGGCTAAATAAGACACAATATTATACTTTTCACAATTTATGGGATGAAGTACTAATATTTTTGATCAGGAATGAGCAGGTGAACTGAAGGAAACCAGATGCAAAAGATTAAATGCAATGAGCTAGGATGTAGCTCGCTTGATAGATTGTTTGCCCAAGTCCTGGGTTTGATTTTGAGTCCCTACTAATCTGGGTGTAGTGGTATATAGCTGTAACTCCAGTACTCACTACGATCAGGAGGAGTTCAAGGTCATATACAAGTAGATAGTGAGTTCAAGGCTAGCCTGGGTTACAATGAGACCTGTCTCAAAAAAGTAAAAATAAAAAGGAAGACTAAATGTTGTGTAATTCCATTCTTATGCAATGACTGAAATGGCAACTGTAAAGACATGAAGAATATTTGTGGTTCCTAAGTTGAGGGAGGGAATTGGGGTTTAACTGAACGGAGGCAGGATGGAACATCGGAGGGTGATGGAAACATCTAAACCTCAGTTGCACCACTCTGTTTATTACTATAAGTCATCACATTGTATCTTTCAAATGGGTAGATTTTATTGTATGCAAGTTATAGGAAAGCTGTTAGAACATAATATTGGCCTGACGTCCACCATACCAAAGCACTGTCATATAATGTTGTTGCTGAACATTTTATGTAAAAATGAATATTTGAAAATCAACTATGTCACAAGTGGTAGCTATCCTGAAACCCCTCTGACTGTATATCTGTGTAATTCTACACAATAATCATGTTTCCACTCCCTACCACAGGTGCTAACTTTAGGCTCCTTTTTGTAGATAAATAAATAAATGCCAGTATACATCTCACCACTTCCACACCTTCCAACTACAGCAATGGCAGAGAGTGGGTTTCATACAGAATCTAGGACCATCCCTCTTTGTCTTCAAGGAGTCCAAATGACACGACCTTTTTTAGTGTCGGTATGGCAGTGCCAACCTCAGCGTAAATAGGTGTACACCCTTACACCACCAGTTTTCCTTGCACAAAGTCACTCTCAGGGCAGTGTGAGGGATGCTGGTAAAGCCCTGGTCATAGGACTGCCGTGCTCAGCATTCTCGTCCTCCTTTTCCAGGCTCACATTGGGAAAGGAATTCAAACAGGACACAAAACCCTGAAACAGAAAAGGAAGAAGAGGGAGTGGGTGCCACGACTCCCCTCCCCCAACCACCACACTTTCTCTTACGCACAGATATACGTACACCAGACAGGCTCTTTAGAATACTGTAATTTTCTAAGCTAGTTTGCTGGGCACAAACAAGGCACACTCACTTCATTTTGCAAATGGTCACATGGACTTGCTCCTAAACTGTTCCCGTTAGCAGTATACAGACCCTGAAAATGCTCCTCATACAAGGCTTATGACAGGGAATATCAGAATACACCAAGCAACATGGTGTTCTTAAAATGTACTGTGTTAATTCCATAGGCAGAGGTTTTGGAGACAGCAAAACCAAGTTGTAATGAAAACAAGGATGCAAGACTATTTCTTCACTATCTGATGTTCAATCATTTCAAATATATGATGAAACAAGTGCATTCACACAGCAATGTTGTGAAAATGGGTAAGAGTGCTTTGCATTAACAGAAATTCACATATATTCAAATATATGTGAGAGTCAGTAGCAGGGTATTACAGATATTGTTATTTGTCACACAAAACCAGTAAAGGCACTAAATTTTATCACTAGTATACTAATGAGTAAATTTTGGAACATCCACACCGTGAAACACTCAACCAGCAAAAAATAATGTGATATTTTCTTGAAAATTAGTTTTTTTCCAGAAAATTATTTTATTATTATTTTTTATTTTTCTCTCATACATTCACCCTGAGCAAAGTTTCCCCTCCCTCCACTGCTCCCACTCCCTCCTCCCACCTCCCCTTTCCTCCAGATCCATTCTTCCTCTGTTTCCCTTTTTATAAGAAAGAGCAAGCCTCTCCAGGGATATCCACCCAACATGGCCTAACAAAGTTACTATAAGACTAGGCACAAACCCTCATATCAAGGCTGGTAGAGGCAACCAGATAGGAAGACTAGGGTTCCAAGCACAGGCAAAAGAGTCAGAAACACCCCCACTCTCATTATTGGGAGTCCCACAAGAACACCCAGCTACACAACCATAACATATATGCAGAGGACCTAGCACAGTCCCATACAGGGTCTGTGTTTGTCGATTCAGTTTCTGTGATTCCCTGTGAGCCCTGCTTAGTTAATTTTGTGGGCCGTGTTCTTGTGGTGTCCTCTATCCCTCTGGCTCCTATAACCCTTCCTCCCCCGTTCCTGCGGGGTTTCCTGGCTCCACCTAATGTTTGGCTGTGGGTCTCTGCATCTCTCTGTTCCCATCAGTTTTTGGATGATGCCCCTCTGATGACAATTGGGCTAGGCACTGATCTATAAGTATAGCAGACTATCATTAGGAATCATTTCATTGACTTCATTTGAAAATTAGTTTAAAATGTTATAGAAATTATTGCTCTAGACAGGTACAGTGGTGTATACATGTAAATTCCAGTATTCAGAGAGCACTGAGACAGAGGGATTCAATGCATCCTGTGCTACATAATGAATTCCAGACCAATGTAGACTGCACAGGAAGATTCTGCCAGGAGAGGGGAGGGGGAGGGAGAAAAAGGCATTAGGAAGAGGAAGAGGGGAGGGGTGGGATGGGAGGAGAGAGAGGGGAATGTGGAATTGAGGAGAGAAGAGAAATCAGAGAGAGGAGAAAGGAGAGACAAGGGAAAACAGTAAGGCAGTATTTATCCAGAAAATTCAAAGCATAAAATATTTTATTTCACATAAAATTTTCTCTTCATGATTGCTTCTCTGCTCTGCTCCACTAAGGGAGTTTCCCAGCAGAGATGTCCATTGCTTCTCTGCTCTGGTGAAAGTTGTTACTTCTTTGCTTCACTCTGCTAAGGGGGAAACTCCTGCAGAAATGTAGTAGTCTGCTCCTACTCCAGGGAAAGGCATTTCTCAGTAGAGGTGTCCATTGCTTCTCTGCTCTGCTCCACTCCAGCTAAACAAGGTCTCACCCAAAACTCATTCAAGAGATTAATTGGGAAGGAGGAATCCAGAAGAGTGGCTGCCTCTGCCAGGGTGAAAAAAGGCAGCTGAACAGGTACAGGGCTTATATTGAGCTTCTTAGGGGCAGAGTTTTTCCAGGGTGAAGATTTTCAGGGTGGGAATTGGTCAGATTTCAATCTGGTTGGTTTTCCTGCTCAGGGATTGGTTGGTTTTTCTGCTGAGTTGGTCAGGGACAAAGTGTGTTTCTTTGGCTCTGGTTTCAGGGCCAAAGTGTGTTTCTTTCACTAGCTCTGGTTTCAGTGCCAGGGTAGGTTTCTTTAGCTCTGGTTTCAGGATCAGGGTGTGTTTCTTTGGCTGGCCCTTTTACCCTACAATGATTATAGGCCAGACCTTCTGTCAGGTGGCCCATAGTATCTCTGTATACTAGGACTGTCCCCTATCTAACTAGGTTTCTCAAAACGCGGAAGATGGGTTGGCCACAGCCACTCCTTTCTACCTTCCTGCTCAGTGGTGTTCAAGCTGCAGATCAGAATTCTATCACAAAGTGGCACAAGCTCACCCCCATGACCAAAGGTGTCTTACATGCCAGGCGGTGGTGGCGCATGCCTTTAATCCCAGCACTCGGGAGGCAGAGCCAGGTGGATCTCTGTGAGTTCGAGGCCAGCCTGGGCTACAAATCGAGTCCCAGAACAGGCGCCAAAGCTACACAGAGAAACCCTGTCTTGAAAAAAAACCAAAAAAAAAAAAAAAAAAAAAAAAAAAAAAGCTTACACATTGAGCAGGAGAATAGATTTTTCCCATCTTTAAAAGTAGCTTACACAAAATGATTCTAACTCCATCTAAAAAATGCCAGTGTGGAAGAATATTGTAAAAACACATCACGAAACACCAGCTAGCTCTCATGCAACTTGGGAACCAGTCCCAAGCAGGCACAGGGCAGCCCAACGATCCTGACTGACAGAGAACTGGGCGCCAGAGTGGGGTCTGGTTAGCTGTTCCATAGCATCCTGAAGAGGAGGTGGCACAGGACAGAGTGGGGGAAAAGTCTAGAAAACCCTGTACAAGGGTGCTTGCTGAGGGCCGTGGGAGTATACAGCAGGTGACAACTAGTGTTTGACAAGTCGACCGACCAGATGTATAAACTCCCCGATGGGGAGCTCCACCTGGCAAAGCCGTGGGGTCACTGGCTGTGGAAACAGGTTGTTTTCTGTTTGTGACTTTCTCAGGTGCCACTGTTATGCCTCCCTAATAAGAACAGCTGTGGGTGCTTCCCACAGCCCTTTAGCAGTGTGTTTTTCATCTCTGGGCACACATTTAGCTGTGGATTTCTGTTTAAGCTGTATAATTCTGATGAACAGAAATATTACCAGAATATTCTTCTATATTGACACAGAAAAGTAACAGTATTCATCTGTCTCAAAGACAGTCCTTTACATATTTTGCAAAGACCTTAGAACTAGTCCAAAACAGACTAAGCTGCCTCTACAGCGAACCACAAAGACTAATTCCCAGGTGTTGTCTATTGCTAAATCAAAGCCAGGCTGTTTACATCAAGACATAGTCCTTGCAGTAGCTCCCTTTCTGCACGTACCCTGACCGCTCAAGATTCAGCCAATTATTTATTGTCTGGGACCCCTCACCAACTTAGAGCTACATGCATGGGTCATTGTGACATTACTAGCCTAAAAGAAACTACCTGACTTATCCTGTGTTTTGAGAATGGGTAGGGCCCTGAAAATGTAACTTATAGTTGTCCAGAATTTAGCTGTGGGACAGAGCAGGAGTGATGTAGAGAGAGGGGCTGAGGAACAGCAGCAGCAGAGAGAGAGAGAGACAGAGAGACAGAGAGACAGAGAGACAGAGAGAGAGACAGAGAGAGACAGAGGAGGAAAGGTGTAGAGAGAGAGATGTGGAGGCAGTGAAAGTGAATTATAAAAGCTGCTGAGTGGAGAATGAGAAGGGATGAAGAGCTGATTAGGAAGCTGTAAAGAGAGATTTTTCAGAGAGATTTTTCAAGATGAAGTAAAGAGGAAGTTACCATCAGAAAGCACCCGTGCTTATTTCCCCCCTCAGATAGACAAGGTCTAGCCCCCAGATAAGAATTTGTCCTAAACCCTCGCTACTCTGAGGTCTTCTTTTTGCTACCCTGGAGCAGATTGGGAGCTGGCCTCTCGGTCTGTGATAGGTGTGGTGATGGAAAATGAACACCCTGCTCTTCAGAGTATGCACATCTTAATTTACACAGAATACAGCCAAGATAGATCAGAGAATGCCGGGGAGATTTGAGTCGATAGTAAATGAGTTTTAACACACAATGACATTTCCAACTAAGACTCTTAGCACAACATACCCTGTCACCACATCTATTTCTCTGCAAAATGTCCACCCTTTCAATTAAAATGCATAGCTGGTACCGCTTGGATGCCACCTCCTGGTCAAAGTGAAGACTGCAGTTGTATTGGATCACACGGTCACAGCCGTGGAAGAGGGGAACTTTAACTTCTTACTGGGGTTTATGGGATCAAACCTCTTAAGCTTGGGGACTTTTACAGTTCTGTTTCTGCTGTTTTCCTGGGATATAAACAATCACATTTTATGACATTTCTAAACCTGAGACTGAAAGTTAGTTCTGGTCTGAACCAAAGATAGAGTTGCAACTGGGGGCTATTTTTGAGGTGGTGGAGGCTGGGTACAGTGGCTCAAAGCCTGTAATAGCTTATGAGTGCTTATGAGACTGAGGCCTGATTGATTCAAGTTTAAGGCTGGTATAGGCTACATATTGAGTTCCAAGCCAGTCTGGACTACAGAGTAAGACCCTGCCTTAAAAACAAACAAAGAACAAAAACTGGGTTGGCAGAATTAGAAACACATAGGCCCACATACACAGAGAGTCCATTTTTTTTCCACTTCCTTCATTTCCCCCATGAAACTGAATAAATACTATTATAGAAGCATTGTCAGTTTGGGCAAACACAGTTTCTGTTTCACATTCTACAAATTCATTGTATCCTGAGTACAAATTCCAAACGCTATGAAAGCACATTTACTATTTGAAATAAATATGCATATCTTGACCTAAAGGTTT